TCATGACATAACTTTACAGCCATGTGAAAAATGAGATTTTTTTATATAACTTGTAGAGGCTGTCTCATTACCATATTGACACGCCTCATAAAATAACAACAAGTAAAGGTCCAAATCCTGGGTATAAGGTTCTCACTATAGTGCAGATAGTATTGTTAGCTAATGTCATTGAAATCTTGACATTAATAAGAGATGAAAAATACATGTCACACACATACCATAACTAAGATAAATTTTAACATGAAAATATGTCCACTTTTACAAAAATTTAAAAGTTCCAAGGAAAGATGATTGAGCCTTTAAAAACAGCTGTGAAGATCACTATTTTCTTTTAATTAGGTATAATGAATAATAATTCATAATAATTTACATGTATTTTAGATTCATCTTTAAAAATCTGAAGAGTTCTAAGTGCTGTTCGTAACTTTACACACAATGTGTGGAAGAAAAAACGAAAAAAATATATATAGTAGAAAGTAGGAAAGGGCATAAAGAGATAACGTTAGCAATGAATAATTAGAATATATTCTAATCTCTCAATTCAAAAGGCATTTTCCATGCTGCTTATTCATGTTCTCAGGAATAGAGGTTACAGTGCCTTTTAGGACACTGTCTAAAAAATAGCTCTGAATAAAGACTTGCTGGCAGGACTCTTCAGCAGAGGGGAACCCAGGACCTACACAGCCAGGGAAGTAGGTAAGAAGCCAGAGAAAAAATAACAAAGACAGTATGTAACTGAGTCCCCACACCAACCTATCAGACAGGTACTATTATTTAAATTCCACTTTACAGATTAGGCCTTAAAGCACAACAAGTGGGAGTCAATGTCTTAGGCTCAAATAACTAGAATGTAGCAATGCCAGAGTTTATATCCACATTTCTCTGAATTAAAGTTCATGTGGCTTCTTCTGATATACACTATAAAATATAATAATCCCCTGGAAAGATAGAAAGATATGCTGAATAAATGGAAGGATGAATGTATGGATGGGTGGGTGGGTGGACGAATGGATGGATGGAGGAGTTTAACAAATATTTGTAGAATGAATGAATAAATTATATATATATACATATAGATATGTATATGTATAATCACACACATTATAGCTCTTTAATTTTTATTTTTGTAGGTCTGATTTTGTGACTGTATTTGTTTGGCTTATTTACTATTAATTTTCCCTAAGCTTTACCCAGACCCTGACTGATTTTGCTCCTGTCTCAGGAGCCAGGCAGTAAGAGTGAAGTTCACCCAAGAGATTTGCTGATTCGGCCTCCATTGGGAGAAGGCCATATCTCCTTCCTCTCCCCATACTGGTGACAACCCTTGCTTAGAAGAAGATTTCAAATTGACAGGACTCACTGATACTCTCAGAATAAACTTATGTTCATATTTTCCTAAATTCATTGCGAACTTTACATTAGAAAACATGTTATTTCCTACTTGAAAAGTATTAACAATATTGTTCTCCCAGAAACTGTAGAATAATATGTCACAAACTAGGCTCCCATACAACCTGTTTGATTATTCTAAACTAGCATTTCTTAAAATCCGTTAAATTCAAGAAAAAACTATCAGTTCTCCCAGGATTAGGTTATTTTCTTATAACTCTAGCTTAAATGTGTACTAATATAAAATGTAGCCTCTTTATAAGCTCTTATTCAACTATGAAACTCAAGCACATGTACAAATTAATTTTCTCTAAAACAACAAAATCAATAGAATTCAAATATCTTATCTAAGGTAAATGATAGTTTTGCTGAAACCGAATCATTGCTTACGATTGGAACATGGTAACGGCTGATGCAGTGCATTTCATTTGGGTGGACTTGTCTTTACTGACTACAGACAGTTCTATACTTGTCTCTATTTAGACTATTTTGAAATGTCCATTTGTACAGTGCAGCACAATGTCATTTGACCTACACCTTGTGTGAACACATCCTTTAGGTATTAAGTTTACTTCTGCTCTTTTCTCACTAACTCTCAACATTTAAAATAATTCTCCATGATGTCAAAATTATTCTAAATACAATTCCAAACAAAAAGACAACATAGCATTGCTCAGTTATAACTTATTCAGATATACAGATACAGGTATTAATTTTATTGCATTGTCTTCTTAATGAGTAAATATTACGTGACTTTAAATATTTCTAAAACATCTACTATCTAGAAAAAGATCACCTTATATACCATTGCCCTTTATTTCATTCAAATTTTATCTTCCCAGGGTTTTCATAATCTCTTGTTCATACTGATCCTGGATAATGCCTGTTATCACAAATACACATTTTGAGACATCTTTTTCAGGCTTCAAATCATAGTATTCCTGCAAATCAGCATAAAGAACTATTTGAATGATTCTTTTCTAGAATATGTTAAGAAAATTAAAAAATATTTTTTAAATCCAAAATGAATCATCTCTTCTGTCTTTGAATTTGTTTTACTAGGTATAAAAAGTAAATAGTTTCTTTATGTGTAAAAAGCTTCTAAAAAATAAAGTGTCATACAAAATTATTATTATTTTTCTTTAGATCTGTGTTCATTGTGCTTAGCTCCAGAATGCTAATTTCTTTCTTAGTTTTCTTTTTCTTTTGTAACAGTATATATTTTTATATATACATATACGTGTGTGTGTGTTTTATCTGGAATTAAAAAATTTTTATTGTACTTTTTTGGGAGAAAACATTAAACTGAAATTGTTTGATCACTTTTTTTTTTTTTTTTGCTGCCTGCTTTGGACTTGTCGTAATTATATTTTCTTTTGTTACTGATTGTTACAGAGGAGGTATCTGCAAGGATAGTTCAAGTAGTCACTGCTGAGGCTGTAGCCGTCCTGAAAGGTGAACAAGAAAAGGAAGCTCAACATAAAGACCAGCCTGCAGCTCTGCCTTTAGGTAAATGAGAAAGAGCCTCAAGTCAGGAGCTGTGTCTGCTGCACCCTGACCACAGGACAAAGTCTTCATGTTCAAAGATAGACCATGTCGTGTGCTTCATCATTACATATGACATTCATCAAACACTTTTTTTGGAATACACTGGAACCTATTCCAACCTTTAGCAACAGGCTAATTGTGTTATTTCATTAATCTCTAGGATAATAAGTTTATAGTTAGACTTGCCTCTAAATTGCCCTTAATTTTTCATTTCCCAGACCACTATAGAGAGTTACAAAAATAAAGCCACTGCATTTTGATTTCATGACCCTCACCCATAAGGAAAATACACTAATACTTTAACTAGAGATGGTTGGTTTCCTTTGTGGTTTTAGTGAATGTCTATACAATAGTATTGGATCTTCCTGGACTGGTCACACAAAACCTGTAGTCCAAGCTTTGTTAGAATCACCAATGACTTTGTATTCCATATGAGGTACTGACCTTCACTTGGTTCACTGGCTCACATAAGGTACCTCTATGGCACTGCCCTCTCCCTGGGTCACAAGTCAGATGCCCTCTGGAGACAGTTAGATAATGGAACCCACACTTGCCAAGGAAAACACTTTTGTCCATAGGCTGCCCCTACTCAGTAGATAATTGACAGATAGATAGACAGACAGACGTGTGTGTGTGAGATATGTATATACATGCAGAGATGCAAGAAAGAAGACTCTCTTAGTTTCAACATATATATTTATTTTACAAGGCACATATGAACTCATTGAGTAGTAGGATTTTAAGGCCTGAAAATAGTCAATATCCACTGTTTTATCTAATGTATCCTTGATATTTAATTTTCTGATCAGTACTCAATCATCTGTTTAAAAGCAATCAATACAAAATATTCTGCTCTTGCAGAATAATAATTTAAAATTCACTCAGTAGTTTCCTGAAAGTGATATTTGACTGTCAAGGACTATTTTTCTCTTATAAAGAGAGGAAAAAAATTACCTTAACTAAAACTTTAACCTTCAGCCTATTGTGTACTTCTATTCTTTGAAATAAAAGAAAACCCAATCTTTTTTTTTTTTCTTTTTAACTTGAAACTTTAAAAATATGCCATGCTTAAGCCTACAGGGCTAAGGAACTAAAAAGTCGCCTGCCTCCACTATGAAATTGAAATCTACATAATATTAAAAACAAATTTAACTACTAGCCATGAATGATAAAGATTTTCATTAAAATCCTTTACCCTGATAATGAGGGGTCTCATAAAGAAGGTTAAGTCTCTTGAAGAGGAAAACTTGGAGTTAACTGTGAATGAATTACACCGTGTAGAGTCTCTCTCTCTGGTCCTTCTTCATATGCAATGCCAAGGCCAGAGGGTTACTCAGCTCCCACTAGCACATGGATTCTGTTGGAAGGTTGCCACAGTCTGTGTCTGCTTCACTTTTCTTTTCTGAGAATACATATAAAAGAAGAGTTTTGATATTAGACTCAGTGGACAAAAAGTCATTTAAAATAACTGTGAATGATCAAGGTAACTTTCGCTTTCAGATCAAGAAGTTGAACAATTAGAGAATTCTAATATTTTTTTCAGTCAAATCCAAACTAAATTACTTGTCCATGTGTGTTTGCATATGGTAGATAAGGGCAGATATGAAATATTTTATTAATTGAACAAGAAGACACAAATGAATGCAATTAATGATAAAATTTTAGCAGGATTCTCTCATCCATTTTTATGGAGAAATCAGAATAATACTTTGACAAATATTAAATGCTGTTCTTTCTTTTTAGGTTTTCAAAAACATGTGAATCAGGTAACGGGGCTAAAAACAAGTCAAGGACAGCTTACTATTGAATCTTTCCCTGAATTGCATAGAGAGGCCTTTTTACAGATGGCAGAACTGCCTACATATCTAATGGCCTAATAGAATTAATGTTGTGTCTCATTTTTCCATTGTTTGATCTTTAGCAGCTGAAGAGACAGCTAATCTGCCTCCTTCTCCACCCCCATCACCTGCCTCAGAACAGACTGTCACAGTAGAGGAAGGTAAGGCCTATTGGGCTTTTCAAGGTTTGTCTTCTGATAAAGGGTAGATTAACTTCATTGCTTGAGGATTGGACTTTGGTATGGGTCAGTCTGGGACCTAGCTTTGGAGCTGTCTGTTTCAAATGGTCAAGAAGAATTAAAAACCTTAAATAAGTGTATAATCATTTATCCATATAAAATCAGAAGTACAGAAATATGATAAATAAAAAGGAAAAATCTACTTGATAAAGGAAAAGATAACTTTGTATTTAAGATGCTAGACTAGCTACAGAGAAGTGGTTTACTTAATGTAGAATGTTTTGACAGAGAAGATACAATGATGATGTTTGCTATCTTGTACGTGATTGAACGAAAATAAAAATAAATGTTATCTCCTTTATAGTAGAAGTCAAATTTATTGATGAAACCAACGCTTCCTTCTGGAAGTGTCAGGAATTGTCTCTGTTTTGTTCATCACTGTATTGCCAAGGCCTCCTCCAGGGCCTGGCCCATAGCAAACTCTCAATAAATATTTAGCGAATAAATGAAGACATTAATGAATGAATCTGATATTCAGGGCAGTGAACTGGAAGCTTCTTTCCTTCTGAGACCTGTTATTGTCTATGAATGCAGTTATGCATTTACTCAACGTGGATTGCCATGTCAGCTTTTCACTTCCTGTTGAAAGAATAGAGGGATCCCTTGAAGAATATTTATTCAGAATCTAAGATGAAAGGCACTATTTAAGAGCAAATGATTATTCGTTCTCTGCCTTAGATCAGTTAACTTATGTGTATCATTCAAGAGTTATAGGAAAAGACAGTTCAGCTCAATAGTTGTTTCCACATAATTTAGTTTTAAAATACTAAAGCCAGGAATTTATTAATATTACTCTATTTTATTCATTTATTTCTTCTTTTTTTTCTTTTGTCATTTCAAGATTATTTTACTGTGTTAAAAACTGAATATGATATTTATCACAACAAACTCATTATCTTTTCATAATTTGTCTGAGTATACTTATTTGAAATATTCTTTGATTTCCTAAATATAAAAATGTAAATTATTGAAGTATAAACTATCAACTCTTAAGATAATATTATTTTAAATGAAGATTTTTTTGTTTTTAATGAGGTAGGTTTTTTTTTCTTAAATTGAGGTTTTCTAATTTACTTCTTAACATAATGTTAGACAAACTAAACTGTTCTAAGGAATAGAGAAAATTTGAGAAATATAGTATAATAGTCACTGAATATTACTTAATTCCCTTAAAAATGTAAATTGATCTTTATAGATTAGAGATTTGAAGTTTATAGATGGTAGAATTCTTTTTGGCTTATGTTTATCCATTCATCCAGCAACTATTTATTGAGCAACTAAATGTTCCAGACACTCTTTAAATTCTTGGAATATAGTACTGAACAAAATGGACATGATCCCTGCTTTTAAGGAACATATCATCAAATGGAGAACAAAAGTTCGATACATAAGCTCACCAATAACTTCAAGATAGAACGAAAAAGGGAAACCTTGTTTTATTGAATGGTTAGGGATGGTTAATGGAAAGTTTCTCTAAGGTAGTAACATTTCAGCTGAGCCCAGAAGCATGAGTAAGAGTTGGCAAAGCAAAGATGGAGGAAGGGGAATTTCGGGCAAAGGGATCAGGATGTGCAAGGGCACTCAGGTGAAAAAGAGCATGAAGTGTTCTAGAACTGAAGGAGACCCCTGGCTGATGAGTGATGAGAAAAGGCAGGAGTAGTGAAGGAGAGAGAATAGGCAGCCACTGGCTGGGTTCAGGAGCAAGTATTTCACTTGGAATGCCGTGGGAAGCCTTACATAACAGTTGTATTTCCCTCGGATCATTGAAAATGTTTCTGAGCTCCTGCTTAGGCCTTTCCAGTGTCAGAGAATCCTCTTAACCACAGAGAGGGCTGTGATGTTGACATACCTTACCTACTCTAAAAGTCTGCCTAAAGTCAAGTAATTTACACTTCTTACTCTTATACTGGAGTTGGAACAGGAAAGGAAGAAGTAGAGTTCTCCCATCCACCTGAGGATTTGCCCAACCTATTGTGTAGAGGTATTACAATGGATATAATAAAAATACAAATAAAATACAGAATAACTTTCACATTTTGATAACTTTGGTGTCATTTTCCAGACTAGCTGAACTCTTACATTTTAGAATTGCATTCCTCAGGATGTTCTAATATATTGAGGGAAAATGTCAACTCATTTACTATTGAAAGTAATTTGAAGACGCTTTATTTTAATATTTTTTAAAGCAAACTGGTTTTTTTATTGAATTTTTTTTTTTCTTTTTACAAAAAAAGTATTAAACTATGTGAAGGCCTATTGATTTGCTTTTAAAAACATAACCACTTTTTAAAGTATATGAAATAGAGATTTTTTGTTTCCCAAACAAACTAACCAGGTAGTTATCTCACTTTAAATGTATGAGAGATGTGTGATCTAGACAAATTAGCTGTCTCAGTCTTTTTATTAAACCACAGTTATATAGAATATTGTTTTAAAAATAACCAGTTTAATTTTGTCAGAAGATAAATTACTAACCAACACAGAACAGGATTCAAGTGATTAATTTTTCAAGCTAATTGGATTTTAAAGATGAAACTCAAATTCCATTAACGTAATGGCTTATAGCAAATTGGATGGAAAAGGAGTAGGTGGTTTTGCTTGCCTTGTCAAGGGGATTATTTACTCTCTTTGACACACCTTTAAAGCAACTTTAATCCCAGGACCACAGTAACTGCATCACAGTCTGATCCTTTCAGAGAAAATGTACGAAAGCTCTTGGATTAAATTGAGTAATTCAATGATTTTGAGGATATGCTTACTTTTTATTAGTTATCGATTTTTTGAAGCTGTTCTTTCCCAAAGGGGAAACATGAAAGCTTCTGCTAAAAATAATTTAAGATATAAATTACTCTAATTTATAAATGTTTATTACAATTATTGCAATATTACTAATTCCCAGAATATGTACTTATTTGGGGAAGCATTTACAGGGGATTTTGTTGCAAAAGTTAAACAAGTAGCACACTTAAAAATATAAGTATATAAAGAAGCGTGGTACAATAAATCAGTACTCTGCTGAGTTAGGATGTTTTCAAATTAACCTCCTTTTTCTTTTTGGCCTAACCATAATAGTTGGCATTTGGACTGAACTGTTAGAATTTGGAAGCCTGTGCAAGAACAGTGGAACCATCTGAAAACAAAGCCAGGGATCCTTCTGCCCTCATAGGTTTGCTCTAGAATTCTAGGGTGGTGTTTTCCTGTGTCATGGATATGGTGACATAATAATTGCTAATCTGAAAGCAGTTTTCCCTCCATATCATTCTGTGGCAGCAAACACAGCTGGCAAACTGATGAGACCTCAGTCAAAAGCCTGCAGAATGGAAAAGGCTTAGAGATGGTGAAGAACCATATAAGTGGAGCCAGCTGCCTTCAGCCATACACTGTGATGCTATAACAGGCAAAATCACTGAGTCACTGATGCCCCATGAGACCCAGTGTCTAGTAAAAGTGACTACTCATTTGTACCCAAGGGAGTTGACATTCCAAGACTGAGTTTTGTGTGGCAAGCCTTACTTTTAACCCAATAGAAACTTTCAAACTTTTTTTTGAATGAAAGCAAATTAGGAAAAATCGATTCCATCCATTGAAACCAGGTAAGCTTCATTCTGAAGATTATATTTATGCAAAAGAGGTACATAGAAATCCAAGGTTCACAAAGCTACCCTGCCATTTACTATATCACATTCTTAAGTGAAATAGAATATTTTGTGGCAAAAGTAGGGTCCCACCAAAACATGCATACTTATAGTAAAAAGGCACATTCAATCCTGCCCTTAAGCAGCAAAACTACTGTTATGAAATGATTTCACTTTTCATAAATATCTCAACTCTTTGATGGGTCAAGTGAATTGAAAGAGAAGAGGTACTTGACAACTTGTGTGAGTATGCTGAGAACAAAGATGCTAACATATGTCAAATATTGTGCTTGGCACTTTCACAGATGTCTTCTCATTTAGTCCTCCCAGCAACCCGCAGAGATAGATACTGTTTACTCTCACTGTATTGCCCAGGATGTCATGGGTTGTAAGTGGCTTATCCAGAATTCAATCCTTGCAACCACAGCCCCACCATTTCCCTCAAGTTGTCTCTTACTGTGGACCTATAGAAATGAAGTTATTTTCAAATGAGAACTTTTTATTATGAGCTACTGAACTAATTTCCTTTCTTCAAACCATCTCCAAAATAGCTTCTGCATGTCTTCCATCTCCTTTGGGTGCAATCCAAGACCATCTGCCATACATAACTTTGTAGCAAATGAGAATCTAGTGTCTTCTGTCATTTATCATTGGAACCAAAGTGTACTGTTCGGACATGGCTAGAAGTGATCTCCTCTAAGAATAGCTTCCCTGGTGCATCTCTGGGGTTTGCAATGTAGATGGACTTCAGGTTCCATAAGTTTTAAATGAAGACTTGAAGTACATGCACCTCATAGTACCATAGTGCCAAGAGTGCCAGACAATCTTTTTGAAGTTGTCTTGGCTCAGAGCTGAACAAACGCTCAACAGAGAAGCTACGTTTCCACTGGAACTCTTAAGATGTTTGTTGGTTTTATTTATTGTTGTCTGATCAGAATCAAAGTTTTCAGAATAGAAAACACTGTTTCTTTGAAATGTTGAAGATCTGAAGCAAGCCTCTGGGCTGTTTTTTATATTTAGGCACTTTCAAAAGAACAATGACAACAAGAAAAAGGATGCCACAGTCTTCAAAAGTTTAAATCGTCCAATGAATATTGCCTTTAAACTACCAGACTATAGCTTTAAATTCTTTGGTTGGATACTGTAGTCTGCTCTGCTTTCCAGGAAATGTTGAAAAACAGAAAGCCAAATATCACATTTTCATTAATTGATTGCCCATGCAATCTGTTGAACATATTTGAAGTTTCTGAAGTAACTTGCGTATATGGAGAGTACCTCAGTGAGACA